TATAATGGTGTCCGTCTCTCATCTGGCAGCTTCTATCACAGAAGCAGCTGTGAACTATGAGCCATGTCAGGGACTCCTTTAGAGCAATACTCAAGTGGCCTGTGAGGTAGCTCTTTGTTCCTGCATGCATTCATTGCATAGTCTCACCTGTGCCCCCTCCACTCCTCTTAATAAAACTATTTCTCCAGGAATCTCCAGGGTTTTTATGTTTTGTTTTGTTTTGTTTTGCTTTCGCTATATTTTTAGCCTATTTATAACTTGGGAAAGTGTCAAGAATCAAGTTTTATAGAGAGGAGTATTCAGTTCACCAAGTCTTTATCTCGAGAAAATGATGAAAGTACATCTTCATTCTGAAGCTGACTGAGAACGGTATTGTATAAGAATTGAATGATCAAAATAGAATGATGCCGAAGAACACAGACCATGGAGCAGACTGCTTGAGTTCAAATCTCAACTCGTCTTTTTACTATTGCCCTGTAACCTTGGCCAGGTCTCTTAAGTGCACTGAGTCACAGTTTAATCTGAAGCTCTTTTTTAAAGGGTTGGTGTGAGCACATAGTTAAATGTACTAATCTTGATAAAATGCTAAGGATAATGCAAGACTTATATAGAGGAGTATTCAGTTCACCAAATCTTTATCTCTAGGAAATGTTGAAAATGTACATGTGCTTATTAATAAATTGCTATTAAGTTAGTTTAAAAGTCCTGGGTTGTGTAAATGGTCAACTCACCAGGCTGCTAACCAAAGTATTGGAGGTTTGTGCCCACCCAGAGGTACCACAGAAGAAAGGTCTGGCGATCTTCTAAGAAAAAACATCAGCCGTTGTGAACTCTAAGGAGCACAGTTCTCCTCTGACATACATGCGGTTCTCATGAGTCCTAATTGACTTTATGGCAGCCAGTAAATAGACCAGAGTTGCCTTGAGGTATCAGATACTATTCCAGTTTAGATGATACAATGCCCAAGCCTTTAGGATCCCATAGTTTGGGGAAAAAGAATTATTTTCTCTCAATTAGAATTGCAAAGCACACCATACACCACAATCTTTTTATTCTCCTGAATTTAAAAGGACATAGCAGTAAGAATTTAAACGCCAAAGTTTATCAAGTCTCCTTCCATCTTAACAGAAGAAGAGAGAGTCTGGTAAATTTAGTCAGTGGTCTTTAGCAGGTAACTGACTCTGTCAGGCACACTTTTGCATAACTCTAAGGGTTGCTGTAGTCTTCCCTGGAATGACTGTAAGTAACTCTCTGGGTCCCTCCTGCAGAGGAACGTGGAGCATTTGCCTCTCGTCCTGGTGAGGGGATTTCCAAACTCTGGCCCTGGCTGCTTCAGTGGGCGCGCTGTGAGAGAGATTAATGGGAAGTGAAAAGAAAAACTTGTGTGTGCTTAACTGGCAGAACTGTTTAGAGTGAGTGACTCTACTTGTATTTAGGGAAAAGATTACTCATGAGTATTTTCTTCCATAGAATATAAAGAACCTCAAATTACTACTTGTGCCCCCACCCCCTTCTGACCCGCCTCCGGTGGCAATGTGTCCTCCTCAGGAACTTCAGCATTTCACTCTCATTTCCCTTCCCAAGTGGGATTCGGTTCTGTATTTACTTTGACGCTTAAATCAGTTGTAAGCAATAAGCCACTTCATACTTTATCCTGCTTCTAACTGCCTTCTGCTCTGGGGCCCTCTCTCAACCACATACTTTCCTAGTCTGAGCTTGCCTGGAACCCCATGGTTGTACTTAGTGGCTGGCTGTAATCATGAACCACTTGTGAAGGAGGGAAAGGTAAAAGTCCATAATATCAAATCGCCATGTTGGTCTTGTTGAAAGAAGACACCATTGGCAGCAGGAAGTAAACGTCAAGGCCTTTTTCCCAGTTCAAACATTGAGGTTTTGCTGGGTCACTACACTCCCCAACTCTCAGCTCACTGTGATTCTGGACATGCGCTTCTAGGTGATTGGAAAGAATTGAGGTACCTCCTATGTCCATGGACCATTTTTAATAGGCCCAGTCAGGGGTCTAAAGCTTAATCTTGACTCATTTTGTGGCTTTCTTTTACTAAAATGACCATAGAGCAGTAACATACTACAAATGATTTTTTTATAATACCACTTTTTGTGTGTGTGTGTGTGTGTGTGTGTGAAAAAGAAAATTGTCATACAATTTGAAAACCAACAAAAAATTCCTAACGGCTCACTTTAGTTATTTCATTGCCTGAAATGTATAAGGAGCCCTGATGGTGCTGTAGGATAAGCACTGGACTGCTAACCAGGAGGTCAGCAGTTCAAACCCACCACCCAATCAATCTTCGGGAAAAAGATGAGGCTTTCCACTCCCATAAAGATTTACAGTCTCGGAAAGTGTATATAGGGTTGCTATAAGTTAGAATCAACTTAAATGACAATGGGTTTTTAAATAGGTCTTCATTGATGGCCATACAAGATGCACTAGGGGCATTGTGGGTAAAGCGTTAGGTTGCTAACCTCAAGTCAGCAGTTTGAACCCACCAGCCATTCTACAGGAGAAAGATGAGACTGTCAGTTCTTGTCAAGGTTTATAACCTCGGAAATCCTACAGAACAGTTCTCCTCTGTCCTGTAAAGCTGCGATGAGTCAGAATTTGGCAGTGGGTTTGGGTTTTTGGTGTTTGATACAACAGACTATCTGTGAAGGGATTTCATGGGGTTAGAGGAAGCCATCTACCAATCTTCAAAATGACAACACTTTGCAAAGATACCACTGTTACGAGAGCCAGCACGCATGCCCAGTGTCTGGACATTCTCCAAGGGGATCTGAGCCCTTGGCTCTCTACTCCTACAGAGAAGACCAGCAGCCCATCTAGCACACTGGTTTAAGGGTCAAGAGTGATTCTTTTCAGGATCAAACTGAGGGACATTTTTATAACACACTCATGGGATCTCCTTAGCAAATTTATGTAGCATTGAGAGATGGAAACTCCTCTGAGCAAATACTGATTTCATTGTGCTGTGTTTGGGTGGTGGTTGGTTGTTATGTGCTGGGGAGTCCATTCCGGCTCATAGCGACCCTGTAGAGGACTTCCAAGGCTATAAATTTTTACGGTAACAGAAAACCTTATCCTTCTCCCATGGAACAGCTGGTAGTTTCGAACTGCTGACCTTGAGGTTCCCAGCCCGATTTGTAACACTACTAGAGCTCCTTTTGTGTTCTACTGGAGCTATCAAAATGCACAATACAATTTTAGAGAATGATGCTCAGTGAGCATCGAACTTCTGGCCCAGTTGTTGCAAATGCAGTCAAGTCGGTTCCGATACATAGCAATCCTGTATAGGCTTTCCGAGGAGCAGCTGGTGAGCTTGAACCACCGACCTTGTGGTTCAAACCAACCTAATAGTCCAGCACATTGACTAACCCACAGCACCACACCAGGACTCCAATAGTTCTCAAAATTTTGGGTCTCAGACGCCTTTATATTCTTAAAAAATTATTGAAAACCCTAAAATGCTTTTACTTATGTGGGCTATATCTACAAATATTTACAATATTGGGAATTAAAACTGAGAATTTAAAAATACCAATTTGTTGAAAAAGAATAATCCTAGTATTGTTGTTGTTATTAAGTGCCATCGAGTCGATTCCTACCCATAGCAACCCTGTATAGGGTTTCCAAGGAGCAGCTGGTTGAGCTTGAACCGCCGACCTTGCAGTTCAAACAGCTTTACAGTCTGGCACATTAACCCATAGTGCCACACCAGGACTCCAATCCTAGTATATATTAACATAAATGCATATTTGCAAATATATATATTTTTATTATTATTGAGAGAATGGCATAAATTGCGTTCTGTCTAGCACAATAGAAGATGACAGAATTGTTAGATTTGCTTCTGCATTCTGTCTGTTACAGTGTCACACATCATCTAGCTTCTAGAAAATTCCACTATACATGCATGGAAGAATGAAATTGGAAAAGGCAAATGGCATCTTAACATTATTACGAAAATAGATTTTATTTCTTAGATATCCTGAGAGGTCCCGAGAAACACTGTTCTGTCCTCCATCAAAAGTTTCCCACAGCAGCAAAATAAAGTAAATATATAGGCTCATGGGTTCCAGAGATGTGGCCTGGTCTATCTTTTCACTCTCCACTCCAGTTTGCTCTCTAGCTTACTTCTGGTCCTACTTAGAGTCCGAGTACTATCCACACCAGGAGGTTCAAACATCAGCAAAAGACCCTCTCGTTGTAAACTATCACATAATTCACAACAAAACATTAAAAAAAAAAAAAAGACCCTCTCATTCCCAGAGGTTTGCCTGATGGCTAAGTGAATTGCATTTTCTGAAATAACACTTGATTACTTAGCTGCTCTGGGAGGTTAATCCTAGCTCTGGGACTGTCTCACTTCAGATGGACTCTGGGCTACAATCATATCAGTGTCTGATGCTAAGGTCCTTTCAAGCCAGCTGAGATTTGTTGTGACTTGAATCTCCTTGAATGATTTGTACCCTTAGGACAGAACTGGAATCGTGACAGCCCCTGGGGATGGGCAAGGAAGGGCAAACCTCTAAGACCTACCAACTCTAAACAATGTAAAAGAGGATTGTGTCTCATTTTCCCTGTAAATAAAAAGTTATTCTGACAGCACACATTGGCACTTCTTAGGATTCAGTTTTAACCTAGGACCCAGTTGAACATAGGAGCTCTGATAACGTAGTGGTTACGAACTGGGCTGTGAACCGCAAGGTCAGCAGTTCGAAACTACCAGCTGTTCCATGGGAAAAAGATGAGGCTTTTTGCTCCCTTAAAGATTTACAGCCTCGGAAACCCTGTACCGGGTCGCTATGAGTCGGAATCGACTCCACAGCACATAACCACCACCATAGTTGAACATAAGGGCTCTTCAGACATGGAGACTCAATGTGCTAAACTATTCAGAAATCTTTTTCCCTTTATTCCAACCGTCTAACTGACAAGACCATTTTTCCCTTTCTTTCTTCTTGCCTTGCTCTTTCTCCAACAGGCTTGCAGCCAATTTACTGGAGCAGGGATGACGTAGCCCAGTGGCTCAAGTGGGCTGAAAATGAGTTTTCTTTAAGGCCAATTGACAGCAACACGTTTGAGATGAATGGCAAAGCTCTCCTGCTGCTGACCAAAGAGGACTTTCGCTATCGATCTCCACATTCAGGTGAGAATCTGGACTCTTGGCATGTGCTCAGCTTGGAAAATCTGTCAGCCTGTGGTTGGTTCTGACTACCACACTCAGGGACACCCAAGTAATCTCCACAGTAGGTCACCCTGAGCATCGGACAGCGGCAGTTTAGAAGTAGAAAGATCCACCAACTCAAGCCAGTTTAAGGAAAGGAGAGGAAGAGCTTCCAGGTCAAATGGAAACCTTTGTGGTTTGAAGTGACCTCTTATGACCTACAGACATTGAAACTTTAGAAATAATAGTTTTACCACCAAATAAAGAAGAAAATGTTGTTCTTTCTCTACCACTCCCCTATCCTTGATTCTGAAAGCAAAAAGAGATCCCTGAGAGGAAATGTGGAGTCCTGGTGTGGTGCTGTAGGGTCGGCACTGGACTGTTCACTGCAAAATCAGAAACTCAAATCCAGCAGCTGCTCTTTGGAAACCCTAGACAGGGTCGCCCTGAGCACTTAACAGCAACAGAGAGGGAGAATGGGGTGTGAACTAGTCAGCAACAAAGACAAGGAAGAGCTGTATGGTTGAGGTAAAAGGAAAGTAGAAATGAGGGAACTAGATATGAGGACTGGGAAATGTGGAGATCTTAATAGCCGAGGTAAGCTGAGGAATAAACTCAAAGAGCTTCAGGTGATTTCCTTTGGAAATACTGTCCTTTTGAAGTAATAGATCTTGAAGCTTGTAGAAATACTGAAAAATTCCAAGTGGAAGTTTCCTCAGGCACATTGAACTAGCTAGTAAAATTTCATAGAATAAAAACCCCCTAAATCCCTGAGTCGTACAAGTGGTTGTGTTTGGCTGCTAACTGAAAGGATAGAAGTTCGATGTACCAGTCTACTTCCCAAAAGCCAGCCATTGAAAACCTTAATCAGTGTGGTTCTACTATGACACAGATGGGGTCGCCATGAGTCAGAGACAACTCACCATCAACTGGTGTGTTTGTAAGATGTAGAAGTCTTAATTCAGCAGCACGCGTTTGTACCTGCAAAGTGTGTTGCTGACATGGGTAAGACTTCAAGTATGCTTCTTAATTTCATTTCCTAAACCTTATGGACATTTGAAGATAGGTACCTGGGAGCTTCATAGGTCAAGGGGAAGCTTTTGTCTCAGGTTTATGCCTCCTGGGAGGCAAAGTTATGGAAGTACCAGAAGGACTTCATCCTATCAAATCTCATTGCGGCTCCCAGCTTTGATGTCACTTGTCTGGCATAGTCCCTCTTTTCCCTGACAAAGGGCAAAGAACTTGCATAAGATCTTGGCACTGTCCTGAAAATGTTCAACCCTTATTTACTCTTGGAGGCCTGCCAGAAGTTAATAACCTAACCGTCATGAGGAAATGTCCCCCATTGCAGGAGATGAGATAAGGATATAGATATAGAACTGTGTCTCCCCTGCTTTTTCCCAACTGCAGCAGACCGTTTTATGTGGGGACATGCTAAAACGGAAGTTTTCCTAAAAAAAAAAAAAGTGTAGGTGTTACTGAAACTTGAAAGTTTCTCTCTTTGAAAATGATAATGTTTAAGGTTTTTATAAGGTGTACAAATATATCCGAAACATTTCTACCTCAAATCACTGATTTTTAAAAACAGTTTCAGAATATGAAAACTTTAAAATCAACCTAAACAAATTGGTTGCTAATGTGCCGTGGAGTCGGTTCCAAAGGAAATCACCTGGAACTCATAGCAACCCTGTATAGGGTTTCTGAGGCTGTAAGTCTCTACAGGAACACAAAGCCTCATCTTTTTCCCATGGAACAGTTGGTAGTTTCAAACTGCTGATCTTGAGATTATCAGCCCAACTTGTAACCACTACACTACCAGAGCTCCTTTAAATTAATTGAGACTCCCTTAAATAATTCCTTTTCATTTATTGCAGAATAATTTCCTTTTCTGTGACAGTGGAAACTAAAAGATAGTATTTTCACAGAGGCAAAATTGCTATCTGGAGAGAGAAAAAAAACCCAACTCTTCAGTGTTCAGTGAAACCATTCATGTTAAGCCAACAATGGAAAACATCAGGATGTGTTTTGACTTGATTTGACTTAGGCCCTGGGCAAGCTTCCCTCCCAGAGGCTTTGTCAAGGCCCTCCTCATTTTACCTCAGGTGCTGTTTTTTATCCTGGATTTCTTTCTCTCCTGTGTGACCTCCCAACTTTACTTATGAAACTAGGTTCTCTGCTCAAAGCTGGGGCAAAGATAAAGGAAGCCTGTTGGTAGTTCTTGTACTTTGTCAGGTCTTTGCCAGGTTGGGCGGGTCCTGCCCTGGAGGAAGTTCCTGATTAGTTAGAGAGGCAGAATTATAATGACTGTAAGAGAGCAGAATAGGTTGGATCTCAGGTGAGGAGAAATGAAGTCAGTTGGAACACAAAGGATCAGGTGAATTCAGTAGGTGTGGGGGCATGCTTTATGGGTTATTGGAACAGCATTGTTGTTGTTAGCCATCGTTGAGTCAATTCTGACTCAAGGCAACCCCATACAACAAAGTAGTAAAACTGCCCCATAGGATTTTCTAGGTTGCAATCTTATGGGTCATGGTATGGTGCTGTAGGATAAGCACTAGACTGAAAGGTCGGTTTTAACCACAAGGTTGGCGGTTCAAACCCACCAGCCAATCCTACACAGAGTTGCTATGGGTCAGAACCGACTCGATGGCACTTACCAACAACAACAACAATCTTTATGAATCCTGGTATGGTGCTGTAGGATAAGCACTAGACTGCTAAAAGGTCAGCAGTTCAAACCTACCAGCTGCTCCTTGGAAACCCTGTAGTTTGGAAGTAGTGGTCAGAGTTCCTTTAGGGACATTCAGGAAGACGTGTTCTGTTCTGTAGTACATACACTAGACTCCTTTTCAGTGTGCTTCTTTTCTTTTCTGCATCCAGAAGCTTCCAAGATGGCAGATTGTGTCCTGTCCAGTTACTAGTCAGGTCAACAAGATGGAGTGTGACACAATGGCAGCAACCGTGGGCTTAAACATAGTCACAGTGATAAGGATGGTGAAGATGCAGCACTGTCTGCTTCTGTCGTACAGGGTCACTATGAATTGGAACAGACTCAAGTGTACTTAATAACAACTATTGTCTGAATAGGAGCTCTGGTAGCGCAGTGGTTACGAATCGGGCTGTGAACCTCAAGGTCAGCGGTTCGAAACTACCAGCTGTTCCGCGGGAGAAAGATGAGGCTTTCTGCTCACGTAAAGATTTACAGCCTCGGAAACCCTGTACAGTGTGGCTATGAGTTGGAACCGACTCCACGGCACACAACAACAACAACATTGTCTGAATTATGACCCAGATTGAAAGTACCTCAGGTTAAGAATGTTGGATTTGACTTTGTAGGTTTTGATCAGGAGAATGATTGAAGCGAAGGCTCTGATTGGAGTATTCCCTTGAAAACTGACTTTTGCATAGTGTGGATTTCTGGGCTCAATAAAGGCCAGAAAGCTAGTTGAGTGCTGTTGTTACAGTCCTGATGTGAGCCAATGATGAGACCAGAAACACAGCCTTTCAGGCATAAAGTGATGAGCTAAAATGGGGAGCTGATTTGAAAGTAGTGGGACCTTCAGTGATCTCAGGACATTCAAGAAGACTTGTTCTCTTAGGCAGTCGGGAATCTTAAACAAGGACCAAACCTGAGCTGGGACTAACATAATAGAGAGTAGTTTCATCCCATCAAGCTGGTATTTATGATCTGGGACAATAAATGTGTATTGTAGCTGGTTTAATGAAGACCTCCACCAGAAATTTATGAACAGAACTTTAAAGTGTTTTTATTGGTGGTGTGCCATCAACTCTGTTCTGACTCATGGCCGCCCTGTGTAGGGTTTCCAGAACTGTAAATCTTTACAGGAGCAGAAAGCCTCAGCTTCAACCCCCACCCCCACCTCCTTGGAGCCAGAGCTTCTTTACCTGCCAGTTGGGATAGCGGGGAGGGACCCTGGGGGTGGGGGAAAGCCACACCAAAGAGAGTTTAGAGGACAGAACTAGGAAGGCAAAGAGAAGTGATGGAGGTTATGTCGGAGCTGCTGGCATTCTCCTTAAGCAGAGACAAAACATAGCTAGGAAATATTTGTCATTTGTCAGGTGTGACATTCCCTGTGACGAAGACTTTCTGCTTTAGCAGTTGGATAGTATTAGAACCCCTGATGCCCTTCCAAAAATCGCATCACATTATTTGATCTTATTTTCCTCATCTACAAAATGGGGTTTTCACCAAGTTCCCTTCAACTCTTAACAATTCAGCACTTCAACTACAAAAGCCATTTTAAGCCTCTGGTGAACATTTCAACCTCACATCCTGGAGGCAGTGAACAATTGCTTTCATCTCCTTTGGCCACTTACACATCACCCAGTTTTTCCCCACTGTCTTTCCTTGCATCTTTTTTGATACCCAAGATGAATCAGCAGGAGCTTCTCACTGGACGCTGGACAAAAAAACCTACAAAGATATCTAGTTGCCCCGTCATTATAAATGGATGCTTATACTTTTCATCCAGCCTTGTTTCCTACCTGGCTACCCCTAGAGGTATGTTCTCTGTACGGGAATGACATTCCTTAATATAACTCATCACAAGTGTGGAAAGGAGAAAACTGGATTCAGTGAATTATAATAACCTGAAATACTAGTTACTGTTGTTACAGTTGTTGTTCTTAGCTATCACTGAGTCTAGTAGATCACCAGGCCTTTTTTGCTAGTACCTCTTAGCCTGAAAGCGCCACTGAAACCTCTTCACCAACATAGCAACATACAAGCCTCCACTGAGTGACAGGTAGTGACTATGCATGGGTTGTATTTGCTGGGAATCAAACCCCAACCTCCTACATGGAAGTGAGAATTCAACCTCTGCCCCTAACCAAATACAGTTATTATTAGGTGATGTCAAGTCAGACCCGAATCATAGCAGCCCTTTGTACAAGGGAGCGAAACATTGCACGGTCTTACACCAAATACAGTTGTCATTGTTGTTGTTGTTGTTGTTAAGGGC